TGTCCTGCCAGGGAGCGCAGCGGGAATGGGCAGCCTCCAGGAGCCGTGGGCCGTGAGCGCGTCTGGGGACGCCGAGCCGGGGTGCGGTCGGTTCCCTTGCCGGCGCTCTCGGGATGCTGGCCGTGGTGGGGAGACAGCTGTGCTGGTCACCGCACCTGACGCCTCACCCAGAGAGCAGCCTGCACAGCTCCCCGGAGAGCCCCTCCTGCGCACGCCCCAGCCACAGGGCAGCTGTTCACACGCCTCACGGGGCCAGGTTCTCTGGGCAGGCGCTGGGCGGCTGGCTCGGGTGACGGTGGGCGCCGCCTACCCCGGCCGGGCGGGACACACGCGTGCTTGGCCTGCAGGAGGCTGACGAGCCGGCAGCAGAGCCTGATCCTGAGCTACGCCGAGGACGAGACCGACGTGGAGGGGACAGTGAATGGCGTCACCAGCACGAGCACTGGTAAGGTGGCCACGCGTCCCCCCGGTCTCGGAAGGTGGGCCGCTGGGAAGCTGGGGTCTCCTTTCGGGGAGTTCTATGAGCCCCCCAGGCGCACAGCAGTTGGAGGCGCGTGGGCTGGGGGAGCCGGGGCCAGCACGGGCCGGAGACTCTGCGTGTGCGTGTGCGTGTGGTGGCCGAGGCTAGCGGCTCGGGGCTGCCGGCCAGAGCGAGCGGGGCCAGAGGGCCGCCCTCGATTTCTGGCCTTGGTTCTGCCACTCGCCTGGTGGCCCTGGGCACACTTCTGCACGAGCCCTCGCAGCCCCTGACGTGAGACGCCTTGCTTCCCGAGCTCCCGAGACGCCACTGGCCTGGGGCACGGCCAGCGCAGCAGCAAAGCTGGCGCCCCGCAGGGCAGGCCCGTGAGCTGACCACGAGCAGTGATCCTTGACGCCAGCCCCGGGGTCAGGCTGTCTGGGCAGGGGCTAAGCGTTAGCGCCCTGGCTCTGTGTGGCGGGGGGCAGGAGCCCCACTTGGGCCTGGGTGGCCGTCCTGCGGGGTCGTCGGCCTCACCGCACAGCTCGCCTGCTCCGCGAGGCCTCTGCTGTTGCCGCGCCCCCAGCGCGTGGGCGGTCAGGCCCCGTTGAGCGTTGAGCGAGAATGCAGGGGGCGGTGCCGGCCGCGCAGCCCAGACAGGCTGCCGCCTGCCCCCGCCTCCTTTCCCTGTCTGCAGGCTGGAGTTCCTGGGGAACCTGATTCAGAGGGTTCTGCTGTGAGTGAGAGAGGTCGTGGGTAGTGCTCAGCCTGGTGGCTGTGTGTGAGGCCGCCCGCGCGGGGTCAGTGCCCCACGCCTGTGCCATCTCCTAGCAGAGACACGACGAGACTCGGTGCCCTCCCGTGTCCCAGGGGGCCTGGGGGTGATGGGGGGGTTTTTGGTGTGTGGGTTCCTTTGTGCTAGAAGCGTCCTCTTTGGGTACTCAAGCCTGTGTGTGAGGACATGGGGTGTGAAGTCCCAAGGGGCACCCCTGGCCTGTACCCCTGCCAGTGGGCAGCCTGCTGTGCTGTTGTGCTGGATCCCCGGGGGCCGGGCCTCAGCACCTCTGTGCTCGGGCCACGGCTGGCTCTCGGGGCAGGCCGGATGCAGAGCTCCCGCTGTGCCCGCACACCCCGGGCCGGCTACCCCCACCAGGCATCTTGGAGAGCAGTAGCCCGTTGTGACTGACGCTGCGGGACAGCACTCTCCGGGTGCGAGCCGCGTGCCCAGTGCTCCGAAGCAGTGAGCAAGGCCTGCGCCCACCCCGGCGCCTGCCCGGTGCGCCTCAGAGCTTAGGGGATGTGTTTCTGCACAGGGGCCCCTCGTGGCAGCTCCCCTTTACCCGAGCATTCCCCTGGCAGGAAAGAGCCGGCCAGTGACACTCAGGCCCACTGCCCTCCTCGGACGGGACGCGCCGGGAGGGCTGCGAAGGCCAGTGAGCCCTGCGTGCGTCCGGAGACTGCTCAGGCTGCCCCTGCGTGTCCTCTCCCGGGGCGGGGCGTGGTGGCTGGGGCCCGGGCTTTGGGGTGAGGCTCCTTGGGTTTGAGCCCACCAGCCTCCCTGGGCCTTGGCGTGGCGGGATGACCTGTGCGCCCTGAGCGTGAGGGCTGCTGTGGCAGCTGCGGCCTGCCGGGGGCCGGCTCTCGGCTGCGTGTTGGTGACGACGGCTCCGCTCTGCCCTGCCCCCGGGGTGGTGGCTCGAGGGACAGCCGGGGTCCCTGTTGCAGATCGCACGACCGCATCAGTCACCTGAGCGGCCAGCTGGGAGTCGCCCCCCCGCAGTGACACTGGGCGACAGCCGGCCCGGCGGCAGAGGTGGGCAGGCAGGGCGGAGGCGTGTGCCCTTGACCCCAGTTCTTTCCGCTGTTTGCGCCCAGGTGGCGGCGCCGTGGATGGCTCCGCGGGAGGCCAGGCTGGGCCTGAGGCTGGGGCGGACAAGGAGGGCTTCCTTTCCAAAATTAAGAAAATGTTTGCCTCCTGACGCCCAGCCCAGGTAGGACGACCCTCGAGGTTTCTTCTCCTTGTTTTCCTCCGAGCTAGCCCCGTTTTCCCTGCTCTCGTGGACTGGTGCCCGCCTGCCTCAGAGGCGGGAGAGGGCCCGCCTGAGGCCTGCTGTAGATCCGCCTCAGCCTCGCCTTAGTCTCATCAGCCTCGCAGGCACCCAGGACAGGCGTCTGGAGGGGGCCTGACGGCCTGCGCCCGGCCCGCGGCGGCCTCCGCACCCGGTTCCCGCAGTCTCAGAGGGCGGCCCCGCAGGCCCCCACCGGGACTCGGATCGTCTCCTGTGTGCACAGGCTGTGAGGCTGGGGGCTGTCGGGCCCCGTGCGTGTCGCTCGGTGTCTCGGGGCCCACGCCGGGCGTGCTGCTCCCTGGGGCCGGGAGGCAGCGCTCACCAGGGACGCGCCCCGGGAGGCGGTGGGACGTGACTCTGGTCTCTTGGCTCAGGAAAACGGTCCACTGGGAACTAGGCCGGAGCGCTCCTCATGCCTGAGCACGTGAACGGGAGGAACCGAGAGCACCGCGGCCCGCAGGCCCTGCCCGCCCCGCCCAGCCGTGACCCACCGCAGAGGCCGCGGCCGCAGCGGGGCTGGGGGACGTTTCCCGCCCGGGTAGGTAGCGTGACCTCGGGCTCAGGCCCAGGGCGGCCGCGGGAGACTTGCGGAGCAGACACGCTCGTTTGAGACTGAATGTGCTGGAGCCCGTAGTCAGAGAATTAAAGGCCATGCTCAGGCGCAGAGACGCGGCCGGCTGCTTTCCCGTCGTCCCCGGGCGCCCGGCGCTCCTTCCCGACAAGCCTCTCCTCGGCCGCCCACAGCACCTTCGGCCTCCAGGAGCCTCGCTGGCTCCTCTGGAGTCGCTTTCAATTCCAAAGATACCGAGCACTGGAATGGGGCGCCCTGGGGCCAGGGCAGGGTGCCACTCCCTCCGGCCTTGAGGGTGTGCTGCCACCCCTGAGCTCTGTCTGGCGGGGTCTCCCTCCCCCACGCAGGGCCCGTGGTCCCTGCTGCTGGGTCCCGCTGTCGGAAGCCAGGTGGGGGTGGGGCCCCTGCCCTTTGGGCCACAGAGCCGTGGGGCCGCCCGGAGAGGGCCCCCTGCCCCCCCCCCATCCCGGGCTCGCCAGTCTCCCCAAACCGCCGCTGGCATCCGTCCTGGGTGTATTTATTCAGTGCTCAGAATCATTGTCTTCTCCTGTGTGAAAGCCCAAAAGAGGAAGCGCCGCCTGCCGCCGAAGGCGCCCCCAGCCCCCCCAGCGACCAGGCCATGCTGTCCTGGCGGGGCGTCCGGCCTCCCAGCCCCTCTGCCGAGGCCGGTGCTGGAGAGGACTGTTTCCTTTTTGTTTTCTTTCACAATTTAACAAAAATAAAGCATCTACTAGTGTTTGAGTTAAGAATGTAAGATGATTCTGTATCAATGTAAATAAGATTATCTACAACAAAAAGATACTTAAAATCTAAATTGTGGTCATTTCTTCTCTGAAAGCCCAGACGGCCTCTGCGGGTGAACTGGGCCGAGTCCCTGGTGTCCTCCACCCAGCTGCCGGCCTGCTGGCCTCTGCTGGGCCCTCTCCCGCCCAGGCCACGTGCGCTGATCTGCATGATGTTCTGGAGTATGTTGTGTGGCTTTTCTCTGGGGCTCGCCCCACGGGCATCTGAGGCCTCCCTGTCCCTCCGGAGGCGTTTCCCTGCCTGAGTCCCAGAGAAGAGCGGAGTGTGCGTCTGTGCGTGATGTCACAGCTGCAGTCAGCGTACAGGTTTAGCAGTTGAACAGCGTGGGGTCGGGCCGCCGTGGCCCTGGGCTGATGGGTGGGGTGGCATCCGCCAGGTTGTGCCACAGGCTGGGAACGGCCCAAGGGGCGTGAATGGCCCATGGGCTTCTCCCGGTTCCTGACCTCGTCCCAGCACTGCCCGAGCCCGAGGGCAGGGCCCGAGGGCCCGCCTGCCGCCCCTCAGACAGCAGGAGCCGACCGGCCTCCCTGCGGCCCCTCCTGCCGCTCCGCGCATCTGGGATCCTGCACGCTGGCACTGACGCTTGGCCCAGCACGCTGGGGTGTCCACAACTGCGTTCCCGGGTCAGCTCACGGAAATCCAGGATGTCGGGGCTGTGGTGCCGGCTTCCACGCCCAGCCCCGTCCGACTCTGGCGGGCCTGGTGTTCTTCAGTCCGCCCTGAAGCTCACAGGCTTCCTGGGGCCGCACTGGAGGGCAGGCGCCCAGGCAAAACGGGTGACCGGCTTGCTGGTGCGTCCTGGGGCTGGAGGGCCGTGGCACTCGAAGGCCTCCCTGCTGGTGGCTGTGGGGGCCCCCGCTGGCCAGGCTCCATGGCCTGAGGGAACCACAAACGCGGCAGCAGGCTGCTGGAGGCCTCTGGGGGCCCAGCCGTGGCCTTGGGTCGTGTGCCATGTGCGTGTCCAGAGGCCAGATGTTCACGCCCCTTTGTTGTGGGGGAGGGGCCTGGGCCTCCCCAGCTGCTACAGCTGCCACCCCAACCCAAGGCCCAGAAACAAAGCCCCTTTCTTCTGGAATCCATCGGTGGGGACAACGGCCTTTATTGAAAAATAAAATTGTAACACAAGAAAGGATGGGGGGGGCACCGCCCCAGCCGGGGGCCAGCCTGAGGGGGCAGGGAGGGTCACGGCCAGGCAAAGTCGCCTTTGTGCTGCTCCAGCCACTGCCCCAGCGTCCGGGCCTTGGGGTTGAGCTGCAGGGTCAGCTCCACATCCCTGTCGGGTCGCAGGGCGTAGAAGCGGAACATGTTGGCGAGGTCCCGCGCGCCGGGGAAGCCCAGCTTCTCGTAGTCCTCAGGGGTCACCTGGGAGCAGAGGGCGGTGAGCGGCCAGCCCCCGCCCCTGGCCCTCGCTGGTGTCCCCCTGGGAACCACCACCCCAAAGAGAAAATCCAAAAACCACGTTCTAGGTCAGTTTAAATCCTGCTCTTTCAAGGTCAGGGTGAAGCGTCTCAGCCCGGACCGAATCTTGATTCCCTCTCAGGCCTGTGTCTGGCTGGTCACAGCGGAGTTAAGACTAAGGAAGATTGGGGAGACCTTTCGCTGGCCTCCCACGGGGGTGGTGCTGGTCACAGGCTGGGTCTAGGGGTGAGGAAGTGGAGGCGAGTGGGCTAGGGTCTAGGCCCTGGGGCCACAGCGCGGGGGTGGGGGGCAGGCGGGGCCAGGCTCCACCCCCAGCGCCCCAGCTGGGGCCCCACATGGTTTTGTCTGGGAATGACCTGGAGATGCCCGAACTTCCTTGAATGACAAGCTCTTACTCGTCACAGGAGCGACAGCCATGGAGGGGGCGAGGGCTGGGTTCTGGACAGGTGGGCTGAGGGTCCGTGGGGGCAGCTGGGACCACCCAGCCAAGCCAACGGCGTCCAGGGTGGCGCGAGCCTTCCCGCCCAAGAGCGGTCCAGCAGGCCCCGCTGGTCCACACCTCCTGTCCCTCCTGCCCGGACACCCTCACCAGCGGCCAAACCGGAAGCCAGGAATTGCACTGGGCGGCCCCCGTGGCTCCCAAGCCCAGCCCACGTCTCCCTCACGGGACACTGGGCAGCTACGGCCCCCGTGCCCACCTTGGCGTCCTGCACGGCCCGGCCCGTGTGCTTGGAGAGCAGCTGGGCATACTCCCCCGCTGTGTGCCGGCAGGTGCTGAGCCCCAGGCTGCGGCCGACGTGTGCTTCCGGCGTCTTCAGCAGGCTGAGCACCGCGGGACCCAGGTCGGCCACGGACATGCCATCCATGGGCACGTCGCCCATGGGCAGGCCTGGGGTGCACAGGGAGACCGGGGCGCTGGCAGGTGTCCGGCCCGCACAGTGCCCTCTGAGGGAGGTTCCCCCCACCTGGACTCGGGGCCCGCAGGCCGCCCCCTCTTGGGGCGTGGGGGAACAGAGGCAGTGGAGGCGACGGGCAGCACGCTCTGCCCGGTCGGGCGTCAGGCCCAGCCTCGTGCTCGTTCTGGGGGAGAGCGGTTCCACCGCTGCGCCTGCCTGTCTGAAGGGGCCACACGGCTGCCTGCTCCAGCCACTTGGGGTTTGCCGGCTGAAGCTGCCCCTCAGACTGAGCACGTGGGGTGCGCGACCACGGCCTGGCAAACTAGAGGGCCCCACCGAGCCATTTACGAAAGTAGGGGTGCCGCTGTGTGCTTCGTGCTCGGCAGACTGCCTCGGCGCGCGTCACCCAGTCCCCTCTGGTCTGGAGGACAGGTGCCCGTCTGCGGCGTGACGGCAGAGCCTGCCGGGGCGCATCTCCTCGTCTCCCCGGGGCAGCCCCACGTCTGTCCCACAGGGCCAGGAGCCAGGCCTCTGACCACAGCCCGCTGCCCACGCCCACAGCGCCCACAGCGCCCACCGCCCTGTGGGGCAGAGCTGAGACAGGTACTCACTCAGCAAGTAGCCCTTCCCGTCCGGGGCTTTCTGGGGCAGGAAGTAGGAGAGGAGGTTCTCAAAATAGCAGGGTAGGCGCACGCTGGTCATGGGGACGCCCAGCTCCCAGAAGTACTCCTCCACCTCCCCTTTGCCGTCGAAGTGGCCCGCGGCCAGCCTCCCGGCCGTCAGCTTCTTGATGTTCTCCAGGCCACTGTAGACCACGTAGCTCAGGCCCAGGCGCTTGGCCACATTGGCCAGCAGCTTCCCCTGGTGGGAGGAAGGGGGGCCACAGCTGAGCAAGGGTGCCGCCCTCACAGCCGGGGCTTTCCGACCCGCGGTGCGGGGCCAGGAGCCAGCACCACGCCGCCGTGGCGGGCGCCAGCTCCCAAACCCCCCTGGGCCCATAAGACCCCGCGGGCTGCCGCACCCAGGCCACCCTGCTGGCCCGCGCGTGGCACATGCCCCCGGCGTGCGGGGGTGGAGGGCTCGGGGTCAGGCACGTGGGCTTGGAGCTCAGACCCGGCTCTGCAGGGACCCAGTGTGTGGTCCAGGAGGCAAGACCTGACTCCCAAACCCCCCTGGGCCCATAAGACCCCGCGGGCTGCCGCACCCAGGCCACCCTGCTGGCCCGCGCGTGGCACGTGCCCCCGGCGTGCGGGGGTGGAGGGCTTGGGGTCAGGCACGTGGGCTTGGAGCTCAGACCCGGCTCTGCAGGGACCCAGTGTGTGGTCCAGGAGGCAAGACCTGACTCAGCCTCCAGCCTTGGAGACCACTGCAGAGGGGCCGAGGGGGTGAAGTGTGACCTCAAAACCCCACACACATCAGCGCCCCGGCAGCTGTGACGACCGGGAAGAAAGGTCTCTGCAGATCTGCGTGGGAGCAGGAGCTCGGCTGCCCCGACTCCCCTGCCGTCCTATGTGCCAGACGGGGCTTTGCTGATCAGAGCAGACAGGAGCAGGCCCGGGAGTGGGTGGCCACCAGCAGCTCCCCAGAGCCTCCAGGGAGCACGGCAGGGCCGGCGCCTCGACGCTGGACTTCTGGCCTCCAGGACGGAGACAGATTCCTGCTGTCTAAAGTCACCGGGCTTGTGGTCATTTGTTACAGCAGCCCGGGGACACTAGTCCAGGCTGTCAGGCCTCTGAGACCAGATCAGCTTCAAGCAGACAGGACGGCTCTGCCCCTCGTGGAGCGGACCTCCAGGGAGGGCTGCAAGTGGAGGAAGGTAGAGGCTAGAACTCTGGAGACCACTGGCCTGGGCCCATCTCCCTTGAGGATAGGGGGACCCCAGCAGGGTGGGCCGGGGCGAGAGCTGTCGCTCCTGATTCTCAGCCTGGTGCCTTTGTGCTGGCCCTGATGACATGCCCCGGATGCCCGAGGGCCTTCAAGGCCCAGGTGCCGGGCTGGGGGCCCATCCTCGAGGAGACAGAAGGCGACCAGAAAGGCGATATGGGACTTTTTGGAAAGATGGAAGTGTTTTACGGTGGCAGTTACCTGGGCATATCAGTTTTTGTGTATCATCAAACTGTAGCTGTGCGTTTTATTATAAGACACTCAGTAGAGTGGGGAGAGGGTGTGTACTAACGGGGGCAGGGTTTCTTGAGGGTGATGAGTGTTCTGGAATTAAGGAGGGGCACTGACCTATGTAGTGTTTGAAGGGTGACTTGGATAGTATATAAGCGATGTTAAAAGTTACTGTAAGAAAGCAGCAGCCCCTGCTTGCCTCGAAGTCCAGGAGGGCTGCATGGAAGAGGGAAAGGGCTGCTGTGGTCAGTGGTGCCCGGCAGAGGGTCAGCCCCTCTGGCAAGCTGGAAATGAGGCTCCCTCCGCCTGCCCTCACCTGCTTGACCTCCTGCTCCTGGCTGCAGTTCTCCCAGTAGTTAGTCACGACGAAGGTGGCGTGCGCCCCGGCCAGGGCCCGCTCCATGCTGGCCTCATCATCCTGGTCACCCCGCACTACCTCTGCGCCCCGCAGCTGCAGCTCCTTCGCGGCCCTCTGTCCAGGGTTCCGAGTCACTGCGCGAACCCTGAATGTCCCGTCCTCCAGGAGCGCGCGGGCCACTGAGCCAGCCCCCCTGGGCACCTGCGGAGAGCAGGAAGGCCCAGAGGGTGGCGGCTGCCTGGGAGCCTGGGTCCCCGGGAGCGCCCCCAATCGCTGCCCGCTCGTCCCGCCAGACAGCCTTGCAGAAGTGACAGCTTGACTGAGGCAGAGCCCACACGGGCCTCGCCCCGTTAGGGTGAGCGGCACAGTGGCTGTCAGTGTCTCCGGCTTCTACTCCTGTTGTCAAACTGGAGCACTTGCTGTGCCCCGAAACGTATCCTGTCCCCCCACTCACTCCTCATCCCACCCTCATCCCATCCCACAGCGCCCCCACCACTACTCTGCTGTCTCTGTGGGTTCACCTCTTCTGGGTGTTTCACAGAAACAGCATCACACACGGGGGGCCCTTTATGTCCAGCTCTGGTCACTCAGCACCGCGGCTCCAGGTGCCCCCACCTGAAGCAGGTATGACACCCACACCTTTCATGCAGATTTTCTTAATGTATTATGAATCATTTAGCACATAAAATAGATACCAGCAGCCATGTACACACCACTTAGCTCCAGAAGTCAACTGTTACCCATGTCCTCTTTTAAAAGGGAGCAGAAAATTATAAGAATCATCAAAAGAGGAGCATGCCCCTGGTGGTGCAAGGGGTTAAAGGGCAAAACTAGGGAGCAATCAGATCTGCCACCCGCAGCAGGGCGCCACCCCCAGGGCAGAGCAGACCTCTGCCCTCTCAGGGTCTCCGCTGCCCCCTCAGAGTGTTTCAGAGGCTCCTCCCCTGTCCTGCTCCCCACCCTCACACCCCCACACTTCTGGTCTCACCCCAGATCTTGTGTGCATAAGTAATCTTTCTTTTTTTTTTTAAAGAAGAAAATAAAAAAGCAGCCACACATGCACCCATGCGCAAGAACCCAGGCCGCAGCTCCGTTTGCAGTGGTGGAAATCTGCGCACAGCCTGACTCTCCTTTGTTAGGAATCTGGTCAGGTAAGTGACAAATCCACACAACCGTGACTGCAGTCTGTGGCACATCTATTGTGGGGCTACGACGGGTGACTGTGGCACATTTTGGAGTGCAAAAGACAAATAACTTGCCACAGCCACCCTCCCACATTTCCAGTGGGGGTGTAAAATGCTGCCGTTGCTTGGGAAACAGTCCCGCAGGTCCTCCAAATACCAAGCCCGTGTGAGCCAACAACTGCACACCCGGGAGTGAGACAGCCGTCAACATGTATCTCGCACATGGGGTTCACAGCATTATTCATAGCAGCCAGCAAGTGGAAACAAACACGTCTGCAGTGGGCCGCAGTGCGTGAGTGGATAAACCACCTCTGGCCGTCCCACAGTGGAGTAGTTGTCAGTCATGGAGAGGCGCAGTGTGTATATATATTTGATAAGACATATCTATGTATATATATTCGATAAAACATACGTGTGTATGTATATATATATGTTTATTATAGGAAGAAGAAGGTGGGGCAAACCAAGAGGCCGGCAGGTACAAACACATGTAAGTGTGAATAAACATGTCCTAGACAGGGTACCCAAGCATCCCGACGCAGCAGTGGGTGGGGCGCCGGGGCCAGGCGGGGTTAATGTTGCTACCTGGGCATCACCACCCACATACCTTACAGCCAAGAAAGTTTAACAAAATTCAAAGGGAGCCTGCTCTGGTCCGGCCGCGCGCACGCCCCTTTCCTGGAGGGGGGGGTAGGCAGCACCTCGCCCCCACCGCGCGGGGGAGGGGAGCCCTGGTCCGGGGGCGGCACCCGTGACCCTTTGGGGTTTGGCTCACCTGTGGCTCCGAACACCACCACCAGCTTCTGGTCCGCCATGTGGGCGCTGCGGGAAACGCGGTGGCCGAGGCCTGGGGATCGCAGAGGCGCGGAAGTGAAGACAGGATCGGGGTTCCGGCCCCCACCCCCACTACCCGCGCACACCCGGGATGCCCCGTGCCCC